TGCTCAAATCACTTCATATTGCGGATACTACTACTGACGAGTATCTGGCCTAGCACCAGGGCTGTGAATAAACTAGCATCAAGTAAGAAGCCAAGGAAGTTACCAAATGCAAAGAATGCACCGTTGCTAATGAGAGACTCAAAAGCACCATCAGCGTAAATCAATAATTTAAAATACAGGTTTCTAGATTTCCCTCTGGCCATTTTCTATTTCCCTCAGAAGACATTACAAATAAAGAGGTGTCACCACATGCTGGGATCTGAGGTCCCCAAAATAAATACTGCCAAAATCCTATCTACTATACATGCCCTCAGGCTCAGAGCAAATTGTTTAGTGGATCGCAGTGGACATAAATAATGGGAAACCCTTGATGATATAATGCTGATTTAAGATTAAACTATGCTTCTATGCTAGGTCAAAACTAAGGCAGACAAGATACTGCTTAAAATTCTAACCACACGAGGTTTTTGTTCTTAGTACAGAAAGGAAAACAATCCTGTTTTCCTAGAGTTTTAGTCCATACCCAACTTCCCTATCCCCAACAATACCTTTCTCTAATTATAAGGCACCTAACAAAATGCTGACTCTGAACATCAGAGAAGTTAATTTTTTTAAGCCAGACAACTCAGTAAAAAATAACTTCTACTGATCCCTTTCGTCAGTATCTGGTTTCCCTAATGTTAACCATGTCGATGAAAACTTGAATTTCTAGATTACCTAAACACAATCCTAGTTTATCCACATTCTTGGGAATGGCTGCTATAATAAGTTCTAACATTTAATTTTGTTGCTCTTTGGACAACAATCAGAACTAATTTACTAATACATGGACTTGTATTCCAGGCATAGGAAAAAGTTATTTTGTACATGAACTGGCAGTACAAAAATGAACATTCAAGTCTCCAATCATTTTCTTTTAATCTTAGAGACCCATTTAAGAAAAAAATGCTATTTTCCAATACCTAATTTTAAATTATTTTATAAAGAAATAAACTAACTCCATACTCTAATTATTTTGTACAGTACTTTTTGTCCTACAGCCTACTTTTCTTCTCCACATTTCAGAGCCGGAAAGAAACTTAGAAATCATCTGGTTCCCTAGATTTGAGTTCCTTGAGCAGAAATTTCTTTTATCTTTGTACCCATCTCCACCTGGGCACCTGAGTGCTCAGTAAATGGGTTTTTAATTTAACCAGGTATAACTGCCCCCACATACAAATTAAGTTCTTCGAATAAATTTCTTTTTCTTTTTTTTTTTTTTTTTTGGCGGTACGCAGGCCTCTCACTGTTGTGGCCTCTCCCGCTGCGGAGCACAGGCTCCGGACGCGCAGGCCCAGTGGCCATGGCTCACGGGCCCAGCCACTCCGCGGCACGTGGGATCTTCCTGGACCAGCCTGCATCGGTAGGCAGACTCCCAACCACTGCGCCACCAGGGAAGCCCCAATTTCTACTTTTGATTAATCTTAACTAGAAAATACTCATTCAGGTAGTTTTTAAATTAAAGTCAAATTAGTAACTTAGGACTTACACCATCTATTGGCTATTTTAAGTGACAGAATCTGAGCAAAGAGGTATGAGGTATCTATCTGGAATAAAGACATAAAAGAGAATAGAAACAAAACTTAAAACAAACACTGTAACATAGAAAACAGACTTGTGGTTGCCAGGGCAAGGTGGGAGGAGGGGATGGAGTGAGATTGGGGTTATCAGATGCCCGCTAGTATTATGTGGAATGGATGGACAATGGGGTCCTGCTGTATAGCACAGGGAACTACATTCAATAACCTGTGATAAGCCACAGTGGAAAAGAACGTAAAAAAGAATGTATATATATGTACAGCTGAATCACTTTGCTGTACAGGAGACATTAACACAACATTGTAAATCAACTATACTTCAATAAAAAACACTCACTGTAAATTAACGCCACAAATTTTAAATAAGACAACCACCAAACCTGAGTCATACTGGTCACTTCACAGTATTTTTAAATCACAGTTACTATTATTGGTTTCTACTAATATGTTATGATAAATATGTACAATATATATAATACACATTTTCTCTCCTAGCAGTTTAGGAATATAAGAGAGTAAAACACGCAAGATAATTTTAGTTTCACCCTGCTCCTTCCTTTCATCACAGGGCCGGTAGGCTATGTGTGAAAACTGACTGAACATCAGTCCCACTTCTGCTAAGAGAAGGTGTCCACACAGAAGCAGAAAACATATACTTCCCTAAGTTCAATCATTAGTTCTGAAAGAGTAAGGTAAGTTAGTTTCAATTAAAGATAAAGGCTCGGACTTCCCTAATGGTTCAATGGGTAAGACTCCGAGCTTTCAATGCAGGGGACCCAGGTTCGATCCCTGGTCAAGGAACTAGATCCCACATGCATGCGGCAACTAAGAGTTCACATGCTGCAACTAAGAAGTCTGCGTGCCGCAACTAAGACCCAGAGCAGCCTAAATAAATAAATATTTAAAGAAAAATAAATAAAGATAAAGGCTAAAATAGGATTGAGAAAAGTTTCATGACACCAATCAAATTTAAACTTAAGACTGGAATTTGACAACTTAAGAAAAATAACTATCAAATTACTTTAGTCTGGCTGTCAAGAATCAACCCATAATAAAGAAATAATACCAACAAAACTTCTACTCAGTGAACTTAAGGATACAGAAAAATCTTTCAATGAATGTCTACCTCATCCTTCATATTCCCCTTAAAGAAAAAAATTAATAACCCACTAGCAGACTAAGGTACTTTTATAATCCTGGCCCTACCTTCCTCTACCCCAGAGTTTACATCTATCCCTCTGTAAACTCAAGGCACTGGCCACACCATCCAAGATCACTGATACTCACAACTTTGCTTAGGCTGTTCCCTAGCCTGGAATGCCCACGTGTAAATCCATCTCAAACTCCAGGTTTAAATGTGTAAGTTCCTTCAACCAAGATATGCTTCAGGAGGTGAATAAATAAATAAACAGTGGTAGATCCGGACAATGGAATATTATTCGACACTATAAAGAAATGATCTACCAGGCCATGAAAAAACACAGAAGCAGCTCAGATATGCATTACTAAGTGAAAGAAGCCAATCTGAAAAGGCTACATACTGTATGATTCCAACTATATGACGTCACAGAAAAGGCAAAACAGTGGCAACAATGAAAAGATCAGTGGTTGCCAGGGCCTGTTGGGGGTAGGGTGGGGTGGAGGAGCGAAGGACAGGCAGAGCATTTTTAGGGCAGTGAAAATACTCTGTATGATGCCATAACGATGGATACATGTCATCACACATTTATCCAAACCTACAGAATGTCCAACACAAAGCATAAACAGTAATGTAAACTTAAAATTACAAAAAAAGTGTAAGTTTCTTTAGCATCAAGACCTGACAGTCATATTCACCACTAGAGCACCAGCAACTAGAGCACTACTGGCACACAGTAAGCAATCAATAAATTAGTGTTGTGAGAATAAAGAAGTTCCACCTGAATGTTTTGTTCTGTTTCCTCAATAGCTCTTCCCCTCTTCTATAGTCTCATAGCTTTTTACCCAGTTATCAATACATCTATTTCATTTTTACTTCTCAATTACACAAGAAACTTTATTTGGCCCTAAACTCTATTCTAAAATAATACAGAATACAGAAATCAGTTGTGGTTCAAAAGAAAACACATTAATAGTACAACATTTTCCACCTTTTACAGATTTTCTTAAGTATTGTCAATTCAGTAGACAAGAATATACACTGTTTTCATGTTGCTAGTTACCTGGAGGAAAATTAAGATGATTTACCGAAGTTATAAACATACGGTCTCGGTCTCTACTGTGTGTGTGTGACACACACACACACACACACACACACACCAGTTCCAAGCTTTAAAAAGAAAAAACAAAAACATTCTAATCGCCCATATATCAGCTTTATTCATGCACACATTAAAATAAAACCATAAGACTGAAGATCCTGGCAAAACAATCCCTTGAATGAGTAACTACACCACCTCCCAGAAATTACTAGTCATACACTAAGGACACTTAAGGTACCAATGTCATATATGAAACAGAAATCTTTGAAGGACAAACATTGAGCACTCAGTTCTCTCAGAACTGCATTAAATTAGAATCTAAAGCTAAACCTATCTTTCATCATGAAGACTATAAAACAAAAAGCATTTATGACACTTTCATAAATGCAATTAAGAGTAATATAAACTGAATTAGTGAGTAATGTAACAACTACACCGTGAACTTAATATGAAGCTAACAGTAGGGAAAGTTTCCAGTTTAGTCCATCTCATTTTTCACAAAATGATTCAGTAAAAAAAATTTTCCATTAGAAAATCATATTTAGCTGATACCTCAAGTATAATTACCTTGAAGTTTCTCCCTTCCTTTCATATTTTATCACCTATTTGGAAACTTTGTTAACATTATGAAAAAGATATAGTTTGAAGTTTTAAGATTACTGAAAAGCACTCTGAAAGAATCTGATTTAGAAATATCTAAAAATATTTTTATTTCTCATTTTATGGAACTGCATGAAATTTCATTAAGGTTCTTCATAAAGCAGCATACAGGTCATCACAGTAAATATCATCTTAGTTTCCTGATTTCAAACTTCATTCATAATTTTATTTATTCAGCACCTACTATGCATAAAGCACTCAATTAGGCATTTTATTAGCCAGATTATTTGGCCAAAATATTACACTTCCTACTAAAAAAGATCAGCATTGTGACTCCTCAGGACATCAGGTAATAATTGTAGGCCTCTAAAAATGCTTGTTAAATCAAAAGGCAATGCTCTTACTGAAGGAATCTTGATTGCTAGGATCAGCAACACCGCATTATAAAGTTAATAGCCTCCATCCTTAAACCATCCCAGGAGAAGAAAAGGAGTAATTCAAACTGTTAACTTGTGCCCAACGACACTACACAATAACAGCCTAAGCAAAACTGCCAGATGTATTTGTAATTAAAAGGTCCAACCTTGACAAAGCATCATCATCAGTGGGTTTTTCATCCTACTGGGTGGAAGGATTCAGAAAGCAGCTCAGGCGAGAAACGAAAAGCACATCCAGCACAAACTGTTCAAGCGGTTCAATCTGGAACAAGTACAGACGTTCATTCCTTCAACCTGTGAGCATCTATTCTGTGACAGCGGAGAGGACGATTTAAAAGGGAGAATGAATGACGTGAAGTTCTGTTGGGGGTTGCTGCCCCAACAATACACTGAGATCGGTGCTACAATTAATAAAGGACAAAGTACGAAGTACTACTGCGGAAAAGAGGAGAATTCTCTCTGAAAAGAGTCAGAGAAGACGATGATCTTTAAGCTGAGGCTCGTCAGTTTACATCCTCGCCAGGTTTCTAAATAAAGTTGACGAACTGGCCAGAAGAGATCAATTTTGGAGACTGACACATCCCTCCCATTGACCGGAGGGCGAAGGTAGTGGAAGCACTGCCGAAACGCAGGCGGCGCCACGCCGGAGAAAGCCTTCCTCCCTTCTCCTAGGCCTCGGCAGCCGCGGTGCTGGGACGGCCGCCCGGGCTCTCGAAAGTCGGGGCAGGTGTCGGCGCCAGATTCCGGCTCGCGGGGCCAGCACAGCTGGCAAAGCCGCCGCCGCCGCCGCCGCCGCCGCCGCCGCCGCCGCCGCTCCCCCAGCGACCTGGGGCCCCAGAAAGTTGCGTGAAGACAACTCCAGTGCGGCGAAGCCGCTCCCCCGCGCGGCCCACGGGCTGCGGCACCTCCAGCCTCCTCTCCGCCGCCTGGTAAAGGAACCCGCCGGGCCAGGGAAGAGAAGGGGGGCTCGGCCCGCCAACTCGGCCGGGCCCGGAGGGCGCGAGGGTTACCAGCGAGCGAGCAAGCCAAGGGTCGGGCTGTTCTGCCCCTCTCGCTGGCCCCCACCCGGGCCGCGCCTCCCGCCACGCCCGGGCTCCAACACCCGGCGTCCGACAGCCCTGCCCGTCACGACCCGGACGCCCAGACGCCGCAGAGCCTCGCCCGCGGCCCGCGGCCCGCACCCCTCCGACTCAACCCGACCCTTCCCGGGAAGCAACCCGGGTCCCGCGGCTCGACCGGTAGCCGGCCGCGGCCCTGCGCCCCTTCCTACCTCACCTGCGCTCCGCGGCGGCCCCGCACCTCCTCGCTCGCTCCGCGCGCCCCGTCGGGGCACACACCGACCCCCTCCGGGCCAGGTCTCTCCGGGCCGCGGCGACTCTGAACGTCACGGCCACCGCCGCCTTCTCTTCCTCTGCACAAGCCCCGGCGGCGAGCAGGGGGTCGCGGTCAGAGCCCCACCGGGGCCAAAGCGAAGCTCGCCGCCTCCGCAGCCTCCACCACCAAGTCCCTTCACTCGTCCGAGCCGCCCGGAGAAAATGTCACCAGAGGCCGTTCCGCTCGGCGCCTCACTTCCGCCCGGAACCACAGAGCCTGAGCCGGTCGGCTAGAGGGGCCGCTGCGGCTGGGACCTCTAGGCACTCGAACGGGAGGCCCAGAGAAAGCCAGACAGCGCCATCTGGCTGGGCTGACCCGCGCTCCTACAGCTGCAGAGCGCCCGGCGTGGGAGCACAGGCTTCCTGGGCTTCTTTCCCGCTCTCCCTTCATCTGCTCAGGCAGCTCCCTTCCAGAAATTTCCCAAAGGGTCGGAAAGCCAGTCAATACAAGCCACGGACAATGCCCTAAGAAAAGGACGTCCCTCCATTTTCCGTTCGCTGCTCAGTACTCACCCCTCCTGAAGCCTTCCCGAATGAAACTTGTGGTGTCACTCCAGGAGGGACTGCGCTCCGTTCTCTCCCCACCTTTTCGCGGATGCCGACAGCTCGGCTCGGCGAGATTTGGCTGTGCTCCTCTCATGCAGTGGCATCAACATCCCGTTCAAGTTTCTGGATGAACCTTGCACGCCTCGCAGACCGATCGCCACCTGCTGGTGAGTCAGGGTCCCGCAGGGAGACCCCGCTCCGCCCCTACGCGCGATGCAGACGCCCCAAATTCCACCTCTGCAGTCACTCCTGATTTGCACCAGCGAGCCCTGAGTTTTCGACGCCCTTCGTTGAGGTCTGAGATCGTGAAGGAAACGTGCTGGACGCTTACCCGGAAGAAAGGTAAGGTGGGCTTAAGGAGAAAGAACAAACCTCATAACTCAAGATCTGGCCAAGGCTTTGAGCTCGCTAAAAGCAGGGTTTTGAGAAATAAATGAATACATAAGGGCTTGAAGAGAAAATGTAAAAGGCATTTACCTTTTCAGGAGCCATGCTGGGACCTGGGGTGACACTCTCCTAGAGGAGATTCTGAAAATCACAGCGCCGGCTCCACGCTCCCCTTAACATCAGTCTCCCGTTTAGATCAGGCCCCCCAGCTCCCCCATTTCTCTCATTTATGCTAACTGCCCACAAGCATGGGAATTTTCCATCCCTAAATGAGTAAGTTGATAAAATAGTTTTACAATTAATAGCTAACTTCTCTGAATGCCTATTATGTGCAAGGAACTATACTATGCATCTAAGTGGATTCATTCATTTAATCCTCACAAGTCTATGGGTTTGGTGGTATTCCTGGCCCCAGATGACAAAAGTGGAACCAGACAGAGTGATAAAGTGACCTGCCCAAGGTCACACATCAGTGTCAGGAGCCTGCATTCTCAACCACCACTACCAACTGCCTCCTTGCAATTCACTGAGAACATACTGTGTGCCAGATAAACATTTTGTCTCTGTATGTTATTTCACTCATTTATTTATTTCCCTGCTTCCTTAGTCCTCAAGGAATTTGAGAGTTTGTGGGGTAATGACAAGAGCCCAGTCTCTTTCAGGAGAAAAAGAGAAAAGAAAAGAACTATTAAAATCACAGCTGTCAGTCTGGAAATGAATGAATGAATATGGACAAATACATTCAGTTTTAAAATGGCCCCTCGATGGTCTTATCTCATCAATGCTGTAGAGATGCTGAGGTAGGCCCCTGACTACTGAGGTACCATCTTGGCTCCTTCTGTTTGATACCAACAAGTCAATTCCTTACAGTGAATGGACTGCTTTTTTTCAGAGTCTGGGATGTTTGATATACTAATCACTAACATCCCTATTACTGCCATACTTAGATTGCTAAATAGGGCACCTGCTTTCTTCTTCCCCTTCTGTAGGAGCAGGAAGGGCTGGGCAGTTGATCCTACTTCTGCCTTGGAATTGTCTCCTAGAATCTCCTTTGCACTACATACTCAGCTCTCCCAGCCCCTGAAATCCCATCCCCATAAAACCAGCCCAGTCCAAATCACACCATCACCCACCCTCCATCCTGTTGCCTCTATGGAAATTTCTCTCAAGATTCCTCTGCTCACAGACACTGTCCTACCAACATGTCCACCCCTTGGCCTATCTGTAGTATTACTACTGGATCATATCAGTGGTTCTACGCTCAATTTCTTTTATAAACCCTGGAGGCCAAGGCCAAGCCCATCTGAATCACCCTTCAGCTTCATTGCTTGCACCTGATGCACCACTGGGACTGGGGCTGGGCTTGCAGCAGGTGCCTATTAGAAACCGTGGCCTAAGCAGTAGCATCACAATGTGGCTGGCCTTGCTTTGACTATAGTCTGTTCTCTCTGACTGAGCAGGCAGCTTCCAAAATGTGCCCCTGTAAGGTGGATGCTGTTTTTAGAACCACTCGTTAGATAAGGAAAACCGGGGATCCAAGGGATGGAACCCTCACCTCAGCTCTAGGCTACCCCTCCCTCAGTGTAACCACCATTACCTCCCCCCTCCCACCCGCAAAACCAGCATCCACTACAATCCCCCAGCACCTGCTATAAGACAGTTGAACAGTTGAATGAGGAGGAGGGGTAATGTTGAACCTCTTGACCCTGGTGGCCACATAACTGCAGACAAGTCACCATGTCCAGAGTTAGCATCACCTGTTCTGCCCCACGGCATTATTCCACAGAATTAAATTATGCCCTCCATATGGAAGGCCATCCGGAAGCAGCCTGAGAATTCCAAGTAGTGGAAGGTGACATGGTCTCCAGGACCGAGAGCTCTGGAGCCTGACAGATTTTGATTTGGACCGGGTTCTGCCTCCCTCAGCAGAGTGACCTCTGGGCACTTCTGCAACCTCGCTGTGCCTCAGCATCCTCACCTGTCAAACACGGCGAAACCTGATACTACTTTGCAGGTTCTTGCGAGGGGTGAGGGCGAAATGAGCTTGTGTAAAGCTCTCAGCAGAACTCTTGGCTCAGAGAGAACACTCTCAACAAGGCCGTTGTTCTGATGGCAACACTCCAGGCCAGCACCTCCTACAAGCACAGACTCACACTGGTCAAGTACGGTGTCTAGGGACTCATATTTCCAGAGCAACAAGTTCACGCAGAACCAGAATGAAAGAGGGCAGAAGGATGCCATGAAGGTGGAGTCACGCGGTGGCCAGGGGTGTCTGGGAGCGGCACCACCTGCAGCCCCCATACAGTTCTCTGGGGTGGATGGTGGAGGTGCCTCTGTCTTGGGCTCCAAGTTCCTCTTTCCAATCAGGTGACACCCCTTCTATATGGAAAGTCTGTAAGTCTATTAAAAAATGGAAATAAATGCAAAGGACAGTATTAAATTTTTCAACAAGTATGTATTGGCCTCTTTTTTAATAAAAGAATAGCTTTGTGGGACCTCTGGGGTGGGAGGGGTGAGGAGTTCCTCTGACACCCCATCTAAACTAGCACCCACCACCCGTCACCACACCTGCTTGTTCCCCTCATAACATTTACCCTCCTTTGCACCTGTCATGCATATTCTTTCTCATCCATCTGACACACCAAAGAGTAGCAAGGGAGCCAGGTCATGTTGTCCTGCTCTGTAGTGGACACACTCAGCACAGGTGTGGATGGAGGAAATCCATCTAAGCATCTAGCTGGGGAGACACAGGAAACTGAAAAGATGTCAAAACAAGGAAGTGGCACCAGATGCCAAGTGGGTGAGAGGCTGTGAGGAGGGTAGGAGGCCTGACAGACAGTTGTTGAAAAGGAAGAAGAGTCAGTGCCTCAAGGGCAAAGCTTAGGCAGTCCTCCCTCACAGCTCCCTTGGTGTCCAGCACAGGGAATGGCAGACAGAGCAAGGAAATAAATGTCTGTGACTGAAGGACAGCTGTGCAGAGAAGCTGACATTTGGGGGAGGAGAAATAGAATCTTTCCTATAAACAAAGGATGTCACAGTCATCAGCAATTACAGCCACTGCCAACTGATGAGCTGGTGAGTCCTGAGGGAACTCAGGAAGGAAAAGAATACCTGTCATCTAGCAGCCATCAGACTGCAGCCACTCCCTATGTTGTGCATTTTTTTTAAGTCAACAGGGAAAAGGAACAAGAGATGGAAAAGCCCCTGGGATGTTTGAAGGACAACAATCCAAGGGCCCGGCTGCCTGTGACTGGACAGCGGAGGGATGAAGCGGGAGACGGCCAGCAGGCATGTCTGGGGCTTAATGTGAGTGGAAGGAGTCTGGGCTTCATTTTTAAGCACTAATGCGGCAAGCAGCGTCCGAAGTTCTCACCAGACTTCTAGGGAATATTCCGGTCAAAGCCAGCAGAAAGCATATTGTCGTGGCCCACTAACAACTTGGAGAGGAAGGAGAGCACTGACCCCAGGCTGACCACCGCAGGGGACATGTGGACCTCTGGGAGGGGAGGGAGGGGAGAAGCGAGAACTGCCAAGAACTGCCGTCTGCAAGCGAGAAAGAGGGTGTTAGGAAAGAAGGGAAGGGCCTGTAGCCCTAGGGACCTTCCCTGTGGGTGGCAGGTAGGATGCCTTCCAAAGACACAGAATGATCTGGAAGAAAGGACTTGTAAAAGCTTCTGATCAACATCAGCTTTGATGAGAACATCTCCAGTCCTGCACCTTCCCTGCAGCTCCAAACACTGCAGTATTTAAGTAAGAACAACATCAGGGGATCTGTGTATGATTAAAAACACGTATCTGGTCTTTGTCCCAGGTCTCTGGCACAGAGCTCCTTTAAAATGCTTGGAATTTCCTGGGTGATAGGAGTGCCTTTTGTTATTTGCAAGAGACCTGAGTTTATGCTAAGGAGGTGATTCTTTTTTTTTTTAATTGAAGTATAGTTGATTTGCTAAGAAGGTGATTCTTGATGGGCCCCTGGGGTAGCTTCAGGAAGGGGGCAGCTTCTCAGAGGAACTAACCTTTGAAGAGAGAAAGGGTTGGAACTTTCAGCCCCTCCCCCACCTCCGGGAAGGAGATTGACTTCAATCACCGATGGCTAATGATTTAATTAACAATGCCTACATAATAAAACCTGGATAATAACCCCTACGTGATGGAGTTGAGAGAGCTGCCAGGTTGGCAGTCCCACTCCCACATTCCTCTTCCACAGGCTGTTCCTGGCTTGTTTCTTTTATAATAAACCAGCAATAGTAAGGAAAGTGCTT